GCCGGAGAGCGCGCGGCGGACGCGCTGCTCGTCGGCGGAGTACAGCGGCGGCGCGGGGGGCGTGAGGTCACCCGACAGGCAGTACAGCGTAACCAGCAGCTGCAGTACGTCCGAGGCCGTCAGCACGCCCTGCGCAAGAAGCAAGGGGGGTCATTTTGTTGGCCCCCAGGCGCTCGGGGATGCTGTGCGTGCGATCGGAGCTCAGGCAGGCGGGACGGGCCCAGGAGTAATCGTGAGGACATAGGCTGACCTGCGTATCTGCTCGCCTGCCGGGTTGCAGCGGCCGTGCGGCATGGGGTTGCGTGAACCCTGGCGGATGGGGCACGCTGGCTTCGGCCACAGCTGCGAGGCAGCGCACTCGCACGCTGTGTGTGGCATCCATTGCAACGACTACATGCCCACATGCTCTGCCCTCGAAAACACACTCATATGCATGTGGACGCACCCACAAACACAAATACACACACACACACACGCGTGTGTGCACCCGATGCGCGCACATGCGAGCGCGTCCCATCCAACCACAGGGCCACACACCTTGCCTGCCTTCACGGCCTGCAGTGCGTCTGTAAGGAGGTCCACCAGCCCCGCGCCCGCGCCGCCGCCGCCGCCGCTACCGCTGCTGGCTGCCTCTTCGATCAACGCCACGACCTGCGCTCGGGTGACGGCGGCGGCGGCGGGCGACGGTGTTGGCAGACGCGGTGGTGCTGCTGCTGAACCAGGGCCGTCGTTTGCGGGGGGGGGGGGAGCGGGCACCCTTCGGGTTGCCTTTTGGGGGTGCAGTCGTGCGTGCAAGAGGAGGCGTCTGCACTGGAGGTCTGCTGGTGGTTGACATGCGCGCCCTGTGTCCTTGCTGGGTTGGTGCCACCAACCAAAGGGCGTCGTCCAAGCGTGCAGGCAAGCGCGCGCGCGGCCGCCGGCCCGGCAGCATGCGGGCCCCGCCATTACGAAAGGGGCCAGCTCAAGCACTTGGATCACGGCAGCGACGGCCCATGATATTTGCAAACAACCTGCCCTCGTGACCTTCAAGGCCTTGCTCTGTTGCACGCACAACCCCTATTCACCCCCGCCGGCGCCACACCTGGCGCTCCATCGAGGCGAGCGCCCCCCAGGCGTCCCAGCGCGGGCTCGTCAGCACTTGGGCGGCAGTCAGGCCCAGGAAGATGGCGGGAAGCTGCCGCAGGGCCGCGTCGCCTGGGGGAGGGGTCGGACGCATGCATAAGTACGCACGTTTGGGAGGACATGGAGGTGCGAGCGCTGTTGGAGGTGTGGAAGAAGAGGGCAGAGTTCAAGGCAAGGGTGGAGAGGAGGTGCCAGGGGGTTAAGCATCAGCTCGCAGGTCCCGCTAGCGCTCACTATGCCTGCTGCAGGCCGGCATAGTGAGGGCTCCAAGGCCAGCCGGTTCAGCAGCCCGCCCCTGGCAGGATGCGACTCTCCGCGGACCCCCCCCCACCTGGCGCCTGCGCGAGCGCCGCCGCCAGAGACTCGAGCTCCGCCGCCGTCACCCCCGCGCTGAGCTTCGCCCTCGCCGCCGGCGCCACCCTCTCCGCCCGCACCGCGTCCCTCAGCGCCTTGCGCGCCGCCGCCAGCGCGTCCCGCCCCCGCTTCGCCGACGCCGCCTGCTCCAGCAGCCGCGCCGCGCGTCGGTCAGACGGGTCAAACAGCGGCGCCCCCAGCGGCGGCGCGCCAGCCAGCGGCGGCAGCGGGTCTGGCGGCGCCGCATCGGCGGCGGCTGCAACAGCGGCGGCAGCAGGCGCGTCGGCGTCGCCGTCGGGCGGCGGGGCGCTCGCGGCGCTCGCGCCGGCGCTGTCGGGGCCGAGGCAGTCCCAGGGGGCGACGCTGGGGGCCTCTATTCGGATCTCTGCCGGCCTGCGGGTGGATCGGAAGCCCAGAAGGCAAGAGATCGGTCGTGCATCATATGTGAGGAGGCGGGAGTACCAACACAACACCCCTACAAGCAAAAGCGGTGCCAGCCGCGGGCAAGGCCAGGGCGCTCTTCCAGGGCTGGTAGCCGCCCTTCAGGCGCTTGCTTCCAGGGCCCCAGCCTGGCGCGGCTCCCTGTGCAGCCGCTTCGCACGACTTCCAACTCTAGCTTGAGCGAGTTCACATATGCGCGTCCACACACACACACACACACACACACACACACACACATATGCGACTCCTTCTTCTTTCTGTCAGCGTCTGTGCCTCACATACATATAGACATGCACACTGGAACACACACAAACACAAATACACACACACCATACCCACACACACCTGTAGGCCGCCCATCGCCCCGCCGCTGCGTGCGGCGGCGGCGGCGCCGGCGGCCGCCGCTGCAGCAGCTCTGTGGCGGCGTCCAAAAAGTGGTCGGCGTGGCAGCAAGGGGTGGCCAGATCGAGGCTGCGATCTATGAGGATCAGAGCCATTGAACTCGGCTGCCCCCCAAAGCCGCCGCCGCCGCCACCCCCGCCGGCCGCGAAGCGCGGCGATGCGTGAGGGCCATCTGGCGCAGCGGCGGCCGCGCTGCCGAAGAGGGCGCCCCCAGCGCCCTGGGTGAGCTGCGGCAGGGTGCCGATCTCTTGGGCTGCGGCCGAATCAGGCGCGGACGGTAGAAGGTCCACGGGTCAGCCGGCGACAGTGTCCCCGTTTGATCATTTGTGCGGCATACTGAAGACGATTCGCGACACCCATGGTGAAAACTAAGCAAGCGTGACCACGCCAAGAGCGCCCGCTCCTGTCCCCTTCCGCGGCCCCCTCGGGCACAGCCCCGCCCTCTACATCGCCGCCCACAGCCCGCCTACCGAGCGCCGCGCTGACCGGCCCAAGGGCAAACGGCTCCGCCCGGACCCCCATCTGCCGCGCCACATCAACCAGCGCATGCGCCAGGAGGCTGAGGCCGCCCGACACGCCCATCGCGCCCTCGTCCGCGTCATCGCTGGCGCGGTCCGCGGGCCCGAACCCCGCGGCGCGGCCGCCGGAGCTGCGGAGAGAGGGGCGCGGCGCCGCAGAATGGGCACAGTTTCGGAGGGCGGCAAGGTTGGAGGGAGGGGGGCTCGCGCCCCGCCGAAGCGCCGTTTCTTGAGGGGCCCAGGGTGGTGTGTCTTCACGCAGGCACCAATTGCAAGACACGCGGCCGAACGTGCACGGCGCGCTCGGACGCTGCGTTTGACGGCAGGCGTCAGGAGCAGTGATGTTATCGAAGCAGCGGGACCCCAGGGAAGCGACGAAGGACGAAACCACAACAAAACCGGCCGCAGTAGGGCAGGGGCAAGGGGACGGGCGCTCACAGGGCCATCACCGCGGGCGCGCCGGCGGCGGGCAGCACGAATGTTGTGCCGTCGAGGGCCGCCAGGTGCAGCGGCAGGTGGCGCACGGCGAGCCGGAGGGAGTCCTCCCGCGGCACAGGCAGGCCCGCGGCCGCGCGCGCCTGCATTGACAGGGCCGGGATTGCGGGGCTGTCGGATTCTCGTCGTTGGTGTTATGTTCTGATGGGCGGCCCCATTAAACGGATCGTTGCCCGTCACCCCCTTAAAAACAGTTGGTGCTAGGGCCACTCAAAGGGCTGACGGCAGCACCGCAGCAGAGGCGCAGCACACGCGCGTCGCCCCGCCCTCGCCGTGGTGACATCACATCTCTCCTCGATGACGTCACCACGACCACCCCTAGGGGCCCCCCCATATGACGCGTCATCCCAGGCCCACCTGGGCGAGGTCCTGACGCAGGGCGTCCGCATACTCGGTGAACGCCTCCACCCCCAGCTCCGTGCCCGCCTGCTGCGCGTGCGCCAGCTCGGACAGAGAGCAGCAGAGCGTCACCCGCGCCGCCGCGGGGTGCACCTGAGTCGACAAGAGGAGATGTATGAGGGTTTTTTGGGGCTGGGGGGCAGGGGGCTGTAAGACGCACGTACGCATTGCGCACACGCGCGCGGAGGCCCGCTGCAGAGGAGGGCCTGCAAATCGGCGGGAAGTTTGTCAATCAGGAGTGTTGGTGCCGCCATATCTATCTATTGTCTTTCTATCGGCGGTAACGCTCGCTCTCAGCGGGGGCCAGGCGGGAGGCGAGGGCTCTCTGCTCTGTGGAGGCCCGCGCCTTGCGCTGTGTGGTCCCGCTGCCCGTACAACACACCATGAGGGCCCGCATTACTAGCGGGTGCGAGTCCGTCAGCAGCCGCGTCAGCACGAACACCACGTGCAGCCGCGGCGGCGCCGCGCTGGGGGCGGCCGTTGCCGCGAGCAGCTGCCCGAAGAGCACGTCATCAGGATGGGGGTTCTCGAGCTCACACACGTTGGCGGCGCCCAGGCCTGCGCCGATGGTTCCGAGCGGCGGCGTCGGCCGCGGCGCGCGGGAGCTCGAGGGGGGCGTCGGATGCGTTGCACGCAAGCGGTGTGCCGACGGCGCCCCGCGACGGGCGCCGGTGAGTGGGGGGAGGCGCGACTGCGTTCGATGCCGATGCTGTTGCTGCAGCCTTTTGCGTTGCCAATGCGCTCCCCTCGCCGCTCCCCTTGCGGCTCTTGCTTCTGCTCACGCTCTCTGATCGCTGCTGCTGCTGCTGCTGCTGCTGCTGCTGCTGCTACTGTTCCCCCTTGCTGCTCCTCCTCCTGCTGCTGCTGCTGCTGCTGCTGCTCCTGCTGCTGCTGCTGCTGCCGCTCCCACCCTGTGACCAGGCGGACCTATGCACAATCAACAACGCCAATCCCGCAGCACCAGCTGAGCAGACCTGCGGCCCAATTACTTTCCAAAATCCTACAGCTGCCCCAAACCAACGCAGCTGTACACGACACACGCGCTGCGCTCTGCGCACCAAACAGGAAGGCGGGCCCCAGCGAGAGCTGCGCCACCTCAGCTGCCCCAGCGTCCAGGTAGACCAGGGCGCCCGCCAGGTCAGGGGCCATCTCCAGGAATGGCCGCCGCGCGATCTCTATGAGGCTCTCCATGTCTGCCGCTGCAGCAGCGGGACGCCCGGTCCTGCCGCTGGCACGGGCCGCGCCCTCCTGGCCGGGCCGCGCCGCGCCAGTGCGGAGCGCAGGTCGGAGCGCAGCTGCTGTTGCGAACCGCGCCCTATGCGGACAAACTTGAGGGCAGGATCCGAAGTATATGCGTTCGAGACGCGTTGACACTGATGTATGCACCGCCTTCAATTTTGAATAAGGCGGAAGCACGGCGACTTACGAGTGTTTGCTGCGTGATCTGTACTGTACAAGAAGGCATCTGTGAGCACGGCAACTTCAGCATGACATCGGATTATATGATATGCATACGTGTTCATGTATTGAGATGCCTGAACGCTCGTCCAGGTGCAACAGGCGATCCACCCGCCCCCCGTGCTCGGCGTGCTGCGCTGTTCGTGTTGACCTGCACCTGAGCAACACCAGGGGCCCTTTCGAACGGGGAGGGGTGGCGAGAGCTAGCGCCGGCGGCGGGGTGCGTAGGGGCTGTGGGGATCACGAATAGGTTGTGTGGGGCCTTCGATTGTGTCGGGCACGGTCTGAGAGTGCTCCGGCGACCTGGGCTGCGTGTGCGAGGCGGCCGCATCATGGGGGAGCGAGGGGCTTTCACTGCAACTGCCGCACAGGTCACCGGGCCCGGCGGCGGCGCGGGCAGCGTGGCAGGTTGGGTGGATGTATGATGCTCAGGCAGACGTGCACGGCCCATGTGCAGTGCGAGTGCCAGCCTCTTCCTCCACCGTGGTCACCCCAAATGGTACTTGTACACAAGCTGCAGCCCAAACACCTGGGCTTTGAAGGTCTGGGCTGGTGCGTGCTGTAATGCTTCAGGAGTGGCAGGGGGATGGGGTCGGCTGCGATGTTCGCAGTGGTGCCAAGCTCCAGCTGGACAGTCGTTGTCAGGCCTGCGCACAGGTCTGCGCAGCCTGCGCGTCCATTTAGGACATCTTTGAACGAAAATTGCTGTCCTTGCGTCTCAGCACGTGGCAACGCGTGAGATCAGGGCGTGCACCGTTGGTTTGACCTTCGTTGATGTGTGCCCAGATCGTCCGGACGTGGAGTGCATCGCCAAGCGGTAAATTTACAAAGTTACTCGAGGTTGTCAGAGCATCGCATCATCGATGTGCATGGTAGGTCGATCACACGGCCAGGTCAGATCGGAGGGTTGACCAAAAATCATCGCCAAGTAGGGCGTCATACAGGGGTATCCTCGACCTTTCGGTGCACAGATCTGCATGATGAAGCCTTGACATGCTCGGCAGTCTGCAGTCTGGGCACCAATGGTGATGACATGGCAGCTCTGCTCTCATCTCCAACGCGCCGCATGCATGCTCTTGTGACACTACCCCCCCTGAGGACGGCCTTCGCCCCCCCTCCCTTGGGCCTTGCTTCACAACTGAAGCGTACCGGGAATCTCTCCCTCCTTTCCCGGAGGGCCCTGGAAGTTGGTTTGATGCTCCGGGGACTGCCGCTGCGGTCTTGTGCTCACTCTCCTTGAGAGTTTTGACGCTCCCGCCCCCCCTCAGTCTCACTTCTGGCCGAGCCTCTGCGCGCGCGCATGGAGGCAGTGACACCAGTTGGCAGGATGGCCAAACCAACTTTCCAAACACCGCGGCTTCAATGGCCAGCGGCTCCGTGCTGTTCTTACTTGTGTGGAGAGGATTTGCCCCACTGCCCTCTTGAGCCGGCCCCAAAAAACGGGTGTGACATGTCCTTTCCTTTCTGGGGCTGATGATCAGCAGGCTGAAAGCTTCGATGCAGCGCATCCCTCTGCGCAGCGTTGTGCCAGCAAGTGCTAGCTGGGTTTTTTGCTGCTGGCACAATTGCCCCAGGCCCCAAATCCCCGCAGTGGGCGGGCGCGCCTGGGGTAGGGGTGGGGCTGCACCGCCCCCACATGACCAACAAGCTGGATGGTTGAACCACAAACCTCAAGGGTCTGGGATTGGAATGCACATCGCTTTGATACACGACCCTGCAAATGGCATAATGCACCGTCAACTGCAATATTGTTGGCGCACCACCACGCCCGGGCTCGCATGACGATCGCTCCGCACGCCAGGCAAACGGCGGCAACACCCGACTGCATGCACGAACCAATTATTGGCTGAGTTTTTCAAAACTGGAACATCATTAAAACTAGTCAATTTCCAACCCGCAGCCACAGGGAGGCTTGTGAACACGCGCCCCCCGCTGCCCGTCCCAGCACTGCTCGTGTTGGCCCCGAATCGGTACCTGCTCCCTCCAGCTCCCAGACAGGCCCGCCTTGCTGTAAGCACCAAACCCGCCCACCCGTTCTGCAGCAGTCTCCATAGGTTTGACCGCCGTCTCGCCGCGTTTGACCGCCGTTGCCACCCAGGCGTCCAGCCCGGCTGCTACTTGACGAGCTGGACCTCGGCCAGGCAGAAGGACGCATCCTTGTCAGCCCCCCGGTAGCTCTCGGGGTGGATATTCTGACGGGAAGGTGAGGGGACGGCAGTCGCCAGGGCGGTCTGTTGAGGCCAATTCTGGTGCATCGCGCCATGCCGAACCTGCAGAAACCACCTGTGTGTGGATCAGCTACCCTACCCCTTCTGGGTCATGGGGCGGTGGCTGCCCACCTGCCACTCGATGTGGGTCATGTCGCCCAGGGAGTAGCAGTTAAAGCCCTCTATGGGGATCACGAATCGCAGCCAGCCGCCGGCCGCGGTGGCGGCGGGCTTGAGGTCGGCCAGGCGCGGCTCTGTGCCGCAGTAGTTGTCGCTCTCCCCGCGAATGAAGATCTTGAGGGGCAGCTGGGGGGGCGCAATAATATTGCACGGGGCCGTGGCATTGAGGGGCATGGGGGTCACTGCTATTGTGGGAGTATAGTGTGTGTGTGTGTGCGTACGTGTGTGTGCGTGTGTGTGCGTGTGCATGCGCGCAGACGATAAGGGCCCCATGCATGATAGGCGAGACAGCCTGTGAAATGGGTAAGGCATTCTTGAACCCAACATCCGCAATAGCACGCAGCGCTGCGTCTGGCACTGTGTCCAGCCATGACTTCTCGTCACCCACACCACCTGTGTCGCGCCGCCAGTCGCGTTGGCCGCATTGGCGACCTCGCCGCGCGGCTTGATCCAGAACGACACGGCCTTGGTGCCCTCGAAGGGGCGGTAGCCCGCCTGCACACAGGCATGCAGGCCGACAGCAATTCAGCTGCAAAGAAATGGAGCAGCTTAAGACTCCATTGTGCCAGATGCTCGTGAGCTAGGGTGAAGGGTTTAGGGAACCCCTGCAAGGGCCGCCGGTGCACGACAGCTTCTGCCATTCATCAGATTGCCCTCAGTGCCACAGTGGAAATGGATGCAAGGCGAAACCAGCTAAACAGACAGACAGGGCCACTTGAAACTCGGTCTCCGCCCTCCCCTGTGCGCGCTAAGGAAACCTTGTCGCAACGGCGGCAGTGGAAGAACAGCCCGCCGGCCGGCGTGATGGTGGCGCAGGTTGAGGGGTTGCCGGCCGGGGAGATCTGGTTTGCCGAGTAGGTGAAGTCGCTGCACGCGCGGGCAGGTCGCAGGTGGGTGTGCGCAAGCATCCAGGTGGACGCATTTCATTGGCCGCTTTGCATGAGAGCTAGCCGTGCGCGAGGCATATGATGTGTGGTGGCTGGACAGGGGCGGGACATGAGCGCAAGCGGCGGAAACACAGCGCCAGGTGGCGTGGGGCTGCATGCGGTCTGCGCTGGCCAGCTCGTTTTGTTGGGCGCATGAATGGAGTGCAGAGGGAGGGGCGGCCACCAAGAGTGGCTGCGCGCCTGCCTGCAGCTGTTGATGGTGGAGCGACAAGCGCTAGCTGCGGCATGCTGTATGGTGTTTTTCCACCGAAGCCTTTCGGTATGCACTGCTTCGATTTAATCAGGCGGACATGGCCGTCATGCGCAACTCATGCGCCCCTTCACCTTCCGCGGTAGCTCTGCCAGGACCAGCCGGTCCTAGCACCGCCAGAGTAGATGACGTCCTTGCTGATGTAGCCCGGGGTGAAGGGCAGCGACGCCTGCGTGGGTGGCCGCAGCAGCACAGCGAACAGTCGGGGCCGGCAGCAGCCGGACGAGCTCTAGTGGCTGGCACCACCACTAAACCATGGCAGCTGATCTCACCCCACCCATTGCTGCAGGCGAAAACGGACAGCTATGTTGAACTGTGCGGCGGGCACTGACTCAAAGGCTGCGGGCGTTCGGCGCCAGCGCCTTGCTGCTCGCAGCGGTCGCCTCAGCGTACTGGCCGCGCCACGGCGGCCGGCAGTCCGGGCCCAGTCCGCGCCTTGGTGTTGCAGTCCACGGGGCGGTACTCGAGCATGGTTATGCCGTAGACGGGGTGGGCCAGCTGCTCGAAGCCGTCGTAGGACAGGTCAAAGTGCTGGATGCCTGGTGTGAGTCGGAGATGGTGTGTGATTATGTAAGATGATGTCAGATAATGTAAGAACATTGTGGTTGGCGCTGCGATTTAGTGGATGTGTTTGTTGATTTCGGCCGGCTCGAGAGGTGCTCGGTTGGGGAGGCGGTGAGTCGACGGCGTGCATCCACGAGGATTGCACATCATTGACGCCAATGGGATTTGGAAGCAAAATCGGCACAACCCTGGCCGCCAGCAACGGTGGGCGGTGTTTTTGGAGCTTAGCATCTGCGTGCGTGGGCTGGACCAACACCCGCACAAGTTGCTAAGGCAGGATAGTCCAGGGCTGCTGTCACCAGCCTCGGGGCTCGTCGCGCGGGCCCTCCCCCCGCTCACCTCCGCAGCACCACGCCTGAGTGCGCGTCTCCCCCCCGCGAGCCACCCCCGGGGCGCCCTCTGGCAGCACCTGTGCGAATGTTAGCACGTCAAACAAGGAGAGGGCCAGGGTTCACGCGTGACAGGTGGTACGTAGCGCGTGACTTCTTGCAAGGCGCTCACCTGCGGACCCCAGTAAGTTGCACGCATAAGATTAAAACCGACTCTGCAAGGGCCCGTGGCTTTCCACGTCCTCGCTCGCCCTTGCTGCCGCCCTTCCATGGGCTTGCTGCTGTCAAGCCAAGCCGCGTGCGTGGCCTCAGACGCGCGGCTGGAACAGACGCATTGCTCGACCAGACGCAGCACATTGCAGGCGGCCGCCGCGCCACACCTGGGTGCAGGGGCAGCTGTCTGCGATCCTGATGAGCAGCGTCCTGGAGGGGTCGGTGCAGGTCACCTCCATCTCGCCGCGCGCCTCCGCGGGGTTGCCGGGGTAGGGCCTGCAAGGGCAGCAGGTGGGCCCCAGGGGAGCGATGACGACCTCTCAGGTGGGGCAAGCTGCGTCTAGTGCCTCGTTTGCGCACACAACAACTTCTGGCCTCAAGCGTGCGCAGTCAGCAAGCCCCCAGGTGAGCGTCCTCTGGGCCTGCCACTGGTGTGGGGCAGCGCGTGTGTGCCTCCCTGCGCACACTCGCCTGCCCTGGGAGTCGGTGACGTTTGGGTTGATGGCGGCCAGGTAGGGCCTGAAGCGGTCGCCCTCGAACGCCAGCGGCGTGCCCGACAGCTTGATCGGCTGCAGCTGGTTGTCTGCACAGGTATGGGCGTGCACGTGCACGGAGGTGTTTTGGGAGACGGACGGACGTTTGTGGGTTTGGCTGCCTGCATTTAAGGGACAGCTTGTGCTTGTTGCTGGGGCGACCTGTGGGTGGGAGTGAGCGAGGGACCAGCAACGAAGAAATGCGAAGTGAACAGCGGGGCCAGAGATGAGGTCAATGCACAAAAACAGATGCATGCGCCCGGCCTGCCCTGGGCGGGACACTAGAGGCCTCTGATGATAAGACACGTGCGCGGCACGCCCGGCCCTGGGCGTGCCGTGCACGCGCCTCATCAGGGGAACGGTAGCTCGCTGCTGTGGTCAGGGTGCATGGCGCGCAGGGGCGAGCACAGCCGTGTGGGAGCACACACCCAGCTTCCTGCAGCTTCCAAAAGACGCACTCACTGAGAACAAGCCCGGGCTTGCAGCGGACCTCGTAGCATCGTCCGCAGCTGCCTGCCATGCACGAGGCGCGGCACGCAGTGGGGGTGCGTCACCGTGTTCGCGCCTCAATCAAATGTGCCCTTGCTGCGCACGCCTGGCCTCCAGCACACACAACGAGAGGGCAGCTTAGGTGGGACAGCCCGAGGGAGCGGCTGCTGAGCCACAAAAAGTAACGAGGATTGCGCAGGGTGCAAAGGGTCGCGAGCAAAAGCGCGCGTGTGGGAGCCGTGTACGGTTGGGGTCGGGTGTGCGCGCGCCTGGGAAATCCTCGTTCGCATCTGCGCTGGCGGCGTATGCATCCCGGGGGAACGGCAGGGAGCTGTCGCTGTCTGTGAAGCCGCAGGAGCCGTATGCCAGGATGCCGAAGCTGCCCTCCCCTCTGCGTGAATGGGGCGGTGAGGAGGGGAGTCGAGGCGGTGGCGGCGGCTCGCATTTTGGGTTGGAAGTTGCCCGGGGCCAGTTGTTTCAGCAACGAACACTCGACTTCACATCAGAAAGCACATCATGCCACCGCCTGTCAAGCTCTCGCAGTCATGAGGTGTGTATCGTGGCTCTATACGTGCCTGGTGGGGTCGTAGGCCCTAGCGATGCGCTCCGGGGCACCGTAATACGTCGCCCGTGCAGTGCCCCAAGCGCCGCCGCCACTGGCGCCTGGCTGTGCGCGGCAGGCAACTACCAGCAGCAAGGTCGCGATCACGTTCCACACAGGATGCACCTTCATGGTGCCAAGTAGCCGAGGATGCGGCTGGAGCGAGTCGACGTCAGATCTCGACAATCAACGCAGCCTTGGACGCGTCATGCACACATTCGAACACTTAGATTTAGACGAAAGAAGTGGATTCAGCCATGCAGGCATTCGCGGATCAACTGCTGCTGGCGCACGCCCGTCAGTTGCATCCGCTCAGCAACTGCAATGCGGTGGGTGTGGAATCCCACACCTGCTGCACCGACTGCGGCTTGGCTGCAAGTGTAACAGGCAGCCCGCTCCTTCAACAGTTGAGGGGGTTGCACAAACGCACCATGTTTGGGAGCTGTGATGGAATCTGCAGACAGTGCACACACTCAAGCAAGCAAGCATGGGCAGCCAGCCAGGCCTGCGTGAGATATATGCACACACAGTACGTGCTCACACCACCACCTAGCCATACCTTTGTGTGCACCTGTGTTCCTCTGTGCTGGGCATTCAATTGCCCACGCGCTCCCTCAAATGTCACTGATTTCCCCAATAGCCCGGATCTGACCTGCCAGATTCGATTTGTGGAGATGAGCCAACACAATTCACACCAACAACACGGCCTTACAACAACACGCTGCAGGCATGGCACCAATCACGATAAGAAAAATCGATGCAGACAGCGCAGCATTCTCAAGCACCATCGCCCCCCAGCTGATCGCCGCCGCTGCTGCCGTCGCGCCGCGCAGCCTCACACACCGCGCGGTGGCCCCTCACCACCCAGTCCGTCCTGCAGCACTCCTGGCTGCAGTACCGTGTCCCGGTGACGGGGCCGCAGCCCGCGCAGCGCCGCAGCTCGGCGCCTTCGCGCGCCGTCCTGCCGCAGACGGCGCATGCGCGGTGCTGCCGGCGCCCGCTGGGGACGGATGCCATAACGGTCGCTGTGCTTGGATTGCCTGCCTGATTCTTTGCTTCAGGGGGCGCATGGTTAGGCTCCTCCCACCCCCGCCCCTGCTCCGATGGCCCCGGTACGCGCCGCACCACCTCTGTGTCATGAGAGTGTTGCTGCTGCTGCTGCTGCCGCTGCCGCTGCCGCTGCTGCTGCTGCTGCTGCTGCTGCTGCTGCTGCTGCTGCTGCTGCTGCTGCTGCTGCCGCGGCTGACCCACCCCTTCACATTCTGCATCCTCCTCCAGCTGCTGCTGTTGCTGTTGCTGCGACACATTTCCCTCTGCTCGGTCCAGGGCCGCCAACGCATGTTTGGCCTGGGAAGCAGCAGCCCTGCAGCTGCTGTGGCTGACAATGCACTGCAGCAATTCCTCCACAGCCAGGCGCCCAGTTGGGTGAGCGCAAGGCGCCGGCGGCTTTGATGCAAACTCCGCGGGCTGCCTGCCTGCATGCACGTGCGCGTAATCTGGCAGCTGCTCGAGCGGCACGACAGCTGTAGCAAGCATGCCCAGCGTGCGCAGCGCATGCCCAGTATTGATGACCTCCTGTTCACCAATTGCGGGGATGCCCGCTGCGGTGCGCGACACTGCACCCAACAGCCCCGACACTGCCGCCAAGTCGCCCCGGCAACCGGGGCAGGCGGCGGCCAGGTAGCACAGGCACCGGGCAGACCCAGGGGCTGTGACCACCAAGGCGGCCGCAGCAGCAGCCTGCATTTTCCCGTCGCCATCGTCGCAACCCGGCACCGCCGTGACATCCTGCCTGCTGCTGGCTGTATCAATGACCCCATCCTCTTTGTCCTGCTGCAGCTGCTGCAGCTGCTGCTGCTGCTGCTGCTGCTGCTGCTGCTGCTGCTGCTGCTGTTTCTGTTGCTGCGGCTTCGGCTGCTGCTGCTGCTGCTGCTGCTGCTGCTGCTGCTGCTGCTCTCCTGCCATTGCTGCTGCTGGCAACTCCGCAATCAGGTTCGGCGAAGCGAACAAGTACAGCGCTGCCGCAATCCATGCCGGCCACATGGCCGACCACATGCAATCCCAACCATTGATAGTTGGGATTTCAACTAATTTCAGGATTTGCATCAGCAGCCGCGGCGCACCCAGCTGCGCAAAGACGGCCGCCCACGCTGCGCCGCCTGGCGGTTGGGCCTGCGCAGTGAGGAAGGCGGTGGTTGCCAGCTCGATCGCCCCGCCGCAGCCTGCGAGCAGAAAGGGGCTGGCCTGCCGCATGTCTGACAAGCTGCCTCGCAGGCCCGCCAAGAGCGCCGCCGCTGAGGCAGGCGCTGCCGCAATGCGTGACGGCTGGCCGGCGTGCAAATCTCTCCATGTGACGGCCGCCAAGACCGTCCCCGCCGTCTCAACCAGATCGCCGGGCGTGTCCTTGCACCAACCCCCGCGCCCGCAACCTCGGCGTGCGGCGACGCGCAGGAGTCCGGCGATTGCTGCGTCGTCGCAGCAGGCCGCCACCTCCTTGTCGCCGCCGGCGTCGACCGCATCTGCCAGCAGCTCCACCGCGGCCAACGCGACGCCGCGGTCCGCGTCCGTGCTGACGCCGGCGGCCACGGCGCGCGCACCGACCGGGTGCCTCAGGATGTCACAGGAGAGGCCCTCAATATTCTCACACAACGCTAATGCCGTCCGCATCGCGTGCGGCCTCCGCACCGCGCCGGACGGGGCGGCTCGGACGCCCGCCGCCGCAGGCGGCGGCGCCGCGGCGTCCTCGAGGGGGCATGCTGCGAGCAGCGGCGCCAGCGCCGCGGCAGCCGCCGCCTCATAACCTCGCCACACCTCGCTGATGCGCGGGTTGGGGTTGTGTAAGAATTCTATTGTTTTTTCGCCGCGGGCACCCCACTGAATCACCAGATCCACGACAGCCAGGAGCCCTCCCGTGGACCCGCGTGCTTCCACCTCCGCCCCGTCATCGCCGGCCGCCTGAAGCAGGGCCAGGACCGCGGCGGGCCGACGAATGGCACTCCCCAGGGCAAGGAGGGACGCCCGCCTCTCCGGCTTGCTGTCGACGGGGTGAGGCTGCTCCTGCGGCCAGCTAACCAAGGCGGCTGCAATGGCCACGAGGGTGGCCGCGGCCGCCCTCATGTGCTGATGGCGGCGCTCATCAGGGGTGGCTAGGCCTGAGGTCAGGCGGCAAGCAGATGCGCCTGTCAAGCTCCCTGGATCCCGCGGCACGCAGAGCCCTGGTGTTGGTGTCTGATCCGCATGCCGCTGCTGCTGCTGCTGCTGCTGCTGCTGCTGCTGCTGCTGCTGCTGCTGCTGCTGCTGCTGCTGCTGCTGCTGCTGCTGCTCCTGCTGCTGCTGCTGCTGCTGCTCCTGCTGCAGCGGCGGATGCTGCTGCCACAGGGCGTCGAGCGCGTCGATGGCAACGCGCACCGCCGCCTCGGACCGCAGATGCGTGGCAGCGGCAGGCGTGGTCCCCAGCAGTTCGTTGATCGACCTGTAGGCACTCCAAGCGCAGGCGACCCTGTCGATGCCGCCTTCAAGGCAGCACGCGTGGCGCATCAGGCGCAATGCATCTTTCGAAGGCACCCGCCATCCTCGAGCCTGGGCCGCTTGCAGCTCGTCACATGCCTGAATTGTTGCTGCGGGAATACCGCGATCTAGTTGACTCAGGAGATCGGTGAGTGCGGACTTCATGGCGGGTGCGTTGGTCAGATGTCGCACGTCGGATGATCCGAAGCCTCGTTACCGTATAGCAGGCTTGAAAGTCGAGAGGAACCCTCTTACGGCAATAGTAGTGCAATTCAAGAACAGCAACAAGCCTGCATAGCAAGAAGTCCCCACACCAGGAGGCGTACGTCTCACACGCACTGCCGAAGCCGCCGGAGCCCTGTTGGACCCTGCCTGATGCAATCAAACGCCCCACACAACCTACATGCACACCCCGCCGGCCCGCACCACCTCTGACTCTGCCGCCCCTCACCCGCCGCTTGGGTTGTTGGACGGTTTCAGTCAACAGCGATGCATGACTGGCATCGAGGAATCCCCCAAGATTGAACAGGGATTCCCAGAGACTCGGCCTGATGTTACGTTTGGCACATTCAATTCATGTTGCGTTCCTGTGCCGCCACAGTGTGTGCCCGTCCTGGCGGCTGTTGGTCATGCAAAATACTTTGAATCCAGCTCATTTCTACAGAAGACCTTGATAGGCCAAGCTTGTAGTGTTCAGATCAGGAACCAGCCCAGCTACTATTCCTGCGTGACGGACGCACTCAAGCAGGGAAGACCTAAGCATCAGGCATGCGCGCGTACACAAGTGCGACCGGCAGTGGGAAAGGTCTCACAGGCTGGCTTGAGATTGTAGATACTGCGCAGCAGATCACAAACAGGCCACCTGCAGGGTGCACTCGGCCCCCGTGTTGCTGCACAGCACACACGTATCATCTTGACCAAGA